GGGGGGTTGGGTTTTTTTTTTTTTTTTGTTGCTTTTTTCAGTTAATTTCCACTTTTTTGTGTTTGTTTCTGCTTATTTCAGCCTGTGCAAACATGATCTTTCTGCTTTCTTATGCTCATTTAAGCTTGTTCTACCTTGTCAGCTATTAGCATTTTTTAGCTAATTTTAGCTATTTTCAAATGAATTCAAGTTTTTCATGGTACTTTTTTCTTTCAGTTCTTTTTCTGTTATTTCAACAACTATTTAGCTGTTTTTATGCTAATTTTCACCTTTTCAGCCAATTCCACATTTTTTAGCTCATTTCAGCTATTTCTGCTTCCTTCTGGTAGTTTAAGCTTATTTCTGCTTTTTCAGCTAATTTTCAGCTGTTTTTTTTTTTATTGTTTTTTGGGGGTTTTTTTTGCTTTTTTCAGTTAATTTTCACTTTTTTGTGTTTGTTTCTGCTTATTTCAGCCTGTGCAAACGTGATCTTTCTGCTTTTTTCCTGCTAATTTAAGCTTGTTCTATCTTTTCAGCATTAGCATTTTTTAAGCTAATTTTAGCTGTTTTCAGCTAAATTCAACTTTTTCATGGTAATTTTTGCTACTTTCAGCTTGTTATGGTCCTTTCAGTTTTTTCTGCTATTTCAGCTACTATTTGTTTTTATGCTCATTTTAGCCTTTTCAGCCAATTCCACATTTTAAGCTCATTTCAGCTATTTCTGCTTCCTTCTGGTAATTTAAGCTTCTTTCTGCCTTTTCAGCGACTTTTCAGCTTTTTTGTTTTGTTTTTGTTGCTAATTTCAGCTTTTTAGCTAATTTCCTAATTTTTGTGCTCATTTCTGTTAATTTACCTAATTCAGCAAAAATGTGTTCTTTCTGCTTCATTCTGCTAATTAAGGCTTGGGTTTGTGTGTTATTTTTAACTAATTCAGCATGTTTTGTTGTTGTTTTGTTGTTGTTGTTGTTTTAACTAATTTCAGCTATTTTCAGCAAGTCCTTCAGCAATAAACATTCCCACTGCATTTTCGCAGGAAATGCAATTTCTTAAGCTTGTGTCTGAAATATTCTGTGACTTGAAATAAAAAAAATGTACAAGCAGCTTAAACAAAAAAACTTTTTCAGTAAATTTGCTTTGGCAGTTTTAAATTCATGACTTGAACTTGTCATTCAGAATGAAAATGTGAAACAAACTAGTTCAAGTGAGAAGTTTCCTCTGTGGCTCGTGAAGGGTCAGTGAGTGCAGAAGGTTGGGCTTCATGTCGTCGTCACTCCCCGGAGCGCCGGGCTGCGCCACACCGACACACACACGCGCACACACACCGGTGCCGGGCTCGGGAGCACACGCTCACGCTCGTTCCGCGCGTCAACCGCTCGTGTTTAGAAGGAGACCCCCCCACAGCTCGTGTCAAATAAATCTCCGACGCGCACCCAGTGGACGGGATTGCACAGTTTATTTCCCGGCTGACGTGGAGGCAGCAGGCTGGACTCCCTGCGTGTCTGTGGCACCGCTCCGTGTCTGCGCGCGCCGGGGAGGAGAAGAGGACCTGCCGGGACTTTAACGCCACCTTAAAAAAAAAAAACATTTTGTACCTCCACTCTCTTCACTAAAGCACCTAAAGATGAGTGGAGTGACCCCTCCGCCGGCTCCGTGTCATTCCTCGGGAGAAGCTCGCCCCCCCGCCGCCCGTCCTCAGAAATAAACCGGCGCGCGCTCCAACAGCTCGGATCTACTCGAACATGTCTTGACGTGGATGTGAAGCTGCTGAGATGATGACAGTGAGTAAATGGAAGACAGGTTGCGCCCTGGCTACTTTTGTGTGTCTGTGTGTGTGTCCGGGTTCATTCTGACGGATCATGGTGCTTGATGTGTGTGTGTGTGTGGGGGGGGGGGGGGGGGGGGGGGGGGGGATTACATCATTAGATTAATTGTGCGCATATACAGTCAGAATGGAAGGATTCAACACACCCTTATGTGTCGGCAGATGTAACCACGCGTGCAGAAATGCCACTTGGTGCGGGGCGGACGCACGCACAGACTGGGCGTGTGCGCTGAAGCCCCCCCTGTTGAACCATCTGAAGGAGGACCGGTGTCCTCTTGACATACAAAATAAATGTCCCCCTTCCCACGATGACACCCGCCCACCCAACCGGCTGGCTGCGGGGTGGGTATCGGTGCAGCTGTCAATTTGCATGTTGGCCAAATCCAGTCTGTGTGCGCGCGCGCTCCGGTTAATCCCACAGTGGATCCGCTTTACCAGGCTGGCGTCTTCCACCCCCCCCCTCGCTATTTATACTTGCACTTTAAATGATTGCGTCACGTGACCCTCGCGTGAAGGCTGCGAGAACTGCGCTTAAAAAGAAATGACCGAGATTTTTTTTTTTTTTTTTTTTTTTTTTGAGACTACAGGATTAAAGCCGTGCACATGACAGGCCTGTTAAAGGTCCTCGTGGGAAACTATGAAATGGAACATAAACACATCTCATACTTTGAATGAGTTTATCTGAGATCCTTATTGTTTCTTTTTATACTTTATGTTTTGCTATTTTGGGGTGCAGGCGCCGTGTACATAATTTAGTTCCACCTCATGTACCACGTGTGATGGAAAAGACAATAAAGTTGACTTGACCTTGGGTTGTATACCTGGATTATTGAGCATGGACTTTGTTACTTGAACCTGAGTTTACTCCTGCAGTTTTCTCAGATATGGTGAATGCGGGTACGCATTCAATGTAAACAAAGTCTCAATATATTTTATGCCCCAAAACTGAGCAAAAATACCGGTAAAACAAAGTTGACCGACTTCTCAACTCCACACGGCTCTTCCATCGTTGTTGACGTGTTTTTCAGTCACTTCGGCTGTTTCTGTAGGTAAACAAACACGTGATATTTGTCAGCCACAAAGTTTTCATTGAAGAACGCCGTAGATATAATTGTGCAGATTTTGCTACTTATTTTATATTTTTTTCTTTTTGGACCTGTCTTCCTCACGTTGCGATGAGTATCTTTAACATTATTAACAGGACGTTGTGTTTAATAAATTCTCATGAACTGCGTGGGCGATTTCCCATCAGTTTTATGAGTAGTTGTCCAAAGAGTTGTGTCATTCCATCCTTCTTGTTTGTAACTTTCCTAGAATTTTCTCACGACAGTAACAAATCCCCGGTTTGGGCAACACGATCCCAAAGACTTCCTGTTATTACTGTCTAGACAAGCAAATCCAGTAATTAGAGTGTAAAACATGAGTAAAGTGCTGTGTTCAGGTTCAAAGACCTACCAGTGATGTAAATGTTGGTGCAGGTATTTGCTTGTGTGTTTGTCTGTTAGTAAAATATCTTAAGAGCCACTGAAGGAATTTTATTGAAACTCTTAGAAACTCGTCTATAACTCTTTAACTTTTGGAGTTAAGATAATTCAAGATGGCCACTACAACTAGTCAGACTTTATCATCAGAAAACTGGCTATAACTTGGTTAATTTTACAGATATGAATATAAAATTTGGTGTGGTTGTAGTTTAGAGTAATCCCCAGTACATACTCCAAGCACTAACAGATTACTTAAGATCTTTGTTTAAAGCTTGATCGTACAAAGTGGTGCGCAGTAGAAATTCCATTAAAAAAATGCTTTTTTTAAATTTTATTTGTGATTTTTTTATGCTAGCATGGCATTTATAACAGATTGACGTAACCTCTGGTTGTTTTCTGTGGCTCTAGTTGTGGTTCGCTTTAACTCGTTCCATGCAGAAGCACAAATTCCTCAGACGACATCAGCACTTTCCTTTGTCTCCAACATGCTGAGTCATGTTGCTCTCCACATCAAACCTATATTCTGCTCTTCCTTTTGCCACAAAGAGCTCAACTCATTGAAAGGTCATCGTCATTAGTAATAACATTTGGTATATTTTGATTTCCCTCCCCGTTGGGTCTTGTCCAAGAGCCCAAGCTCCTGGTCTACACCAGTAATCAGCCATCTTTATAATTAATTAGTTTCCGGCGCAGCTTCTAATGTGGCCACACAGGAACGTGCTGTTAATTTTTCTTTGCCCTGAGAGAAATTTGGGTGCGCTTTGCTTTTCATTAAGTATTAAAAGTGGTGCGATGCTCTGATAGTGTGCTCCTGTGGAGAAAGAGGTAATAATGGTGGGGGGTGGGGGGCTCAGGTGGAGGTTTATGTGTGTATGAGGTGGGGTTGTAAACAACAGGGACGTTTTCATTAGTTGTGTGCTAATCAGTCAGGTGGCGATGGCTGCTCGCGCAGGAGCAACACGGTCAAGGTCAGAGAGGAGCTCCCGACTCACCTGTTAGTGCCACAGTTTGCAGTCAGTCACTTCCAGGACTCACAACTCCCCCGGTTCCTGTCCCTGTAGTGTTGTGCAGATGTAGCAGTAGGTGGTGGGATATTATTCTGACACATCCAGTCGCACAAACTCTAATGGGTGGGTGTCAGACGTTGCGAAAGCCCATCTATAATGTGTATGTTTGCATTTACACAATGAGAGGAATGCAAAGGAAATAAGTTTGGAGTTTGTGACTCTAAAGGAAAAGGAAGTTCCTGCTGGTCAGGAAGTGTTTTGCGGTTGCCTGATTCAAACCACAACTCTGGTGTGACTAATCCAACGTTACACGCTTCCCTAAATTCTCCTTTTACTTTCCTTTTTTCCTTCGATCTCCATGCAGCATGTCCCACTAAAGGAGTCTGCACCAACCTTCAGTCTAACTCTTGCTCTCTATTCTTTTCCTGATTGCAGGATTATCGGGAGGATGGCATGGACCTGGGGAGTGATGCATCCAGCCGCTCCTGCTCAGAGTCCAACTCCAACAAGGTTACGCCATGCTCACCGTCTCTTGACCTGGCCACCTTGGAGGACTACAAATCCTCCCCCTCCCCAGATCTGGCCACTTTAGATGACTACGAGGAGGACGAGGACTACCAAGAGTACAAGAAGAAGGTGATAGAGGAGTGGGAGAGCGAGTACGGCGAGGACTACGCCTCTCCGCAGCCTTCTTCTGGTCCAGACGAGAGCAGCGACGGAGGCGTGAGTGTAACCAGCCCCGACGAAGGCTACAGGAAAGCGGTGAACGGACGCAGCCTCGCGGAAGAATTCCAGGATGTGAAGACCGTCCCACCCCTGCCGGCCCCCGGAGGACGCACCGCCACCTCCACCGCTGCAATCCCGAATGAACTGAAACAGAACGGGAATCTGATTTTTCCCAGGAACAACCAGGTTCACACTTCTGGCTCACCAGTGGGAGGCACAGAGACTCCTAAAGCCACCCACCCCAGCTCCGGTCAGGGCTGGGGGAGCCGCAGCAGTGGCTCTGGTGGCGGTGGAGAAGGAGATGGTGGAGGAGGAGGAAGTGGGGAGACTGATGGCTTGATGTGTGGGTACAAAGAGGAGAGGGCAGAAGAAGAGCCTCTACCCACCATGGACTGGGCAGCTCTGGAGAGGCACCTGGCTGGTCTGCAGTGCAGGGAGCAGGAGAACCAAAACCTGAACCACAACCAGAACCACAACATGGGCAAGACCAACTACACCTCCGTGAGTGTCCCGTGACTTCCTCTGAGCTCTGCTCATGCATGTCTAAGGGTGCCTTCTTTTAAAATGCACTCGTGGTGATTTGTAATCCAGCAGTTACCTGAAAACACAAGGTTCAGTCATCTGGACGGGAGAACAGGGATTACCTACTAATCTAGCGCTAAGCTATGTGACCAATCTAATAACATCACAGAAGTCTACTTGCAGCTGGAGGAGAGTGGAGGCGGTAGGCGGGTGCAATAGTTCAAAATATGAATTAATTTCTCCAGCAAGTAGACGGATCCAGAATAGCTCTTTCTAAACTTTTATGTAGAGCAGAAGTGAAATAATTAAATGTCATTGTTAAATATATGAAGAGCAGCAACAGACGACTGGTAACATCTGACCTGAAGTACTGTGTAAGCTCTTCCTGTTCTTTGTTGTGGTTGTTTGATGGTTCCTCCAGAAGAGGTCAGTGTTGGGACGTGGTGCAGAGAGCACTGGGCCTCTAATGTTCCACCAGCAGCTCTAAAGGTTGGACATTGATGACGTCAGACTGAATTACAGAGTCTGAGTCACCTCCACGGTTCAGGCTTGTTTTGTGGGTGTAGCGTTCAACTATTGTGGCTGCTTCTCGTCCTTCTTAGAAGACCAAACTGTGGGCAGAGAAAAGGCTGGATTGTCATGCTCCCTCTATTGATATGTGAATACCAAGACCCTTTTTCCTCAGTCCACACACTCACAATGGTTTGGGCCGCTGCCATTGTGTATGTGTGTGTGTTCATCGTCTGTCCCGAAGCCGCTCTCCCTCCCCCCGTTCTTCTTTTACAGATGGAAGAACGTCTCAAAAGAGAACCATATGTACAAATACGCACATGTGCTCTCCTCCACGTGTGCTCCTTGAGGGAAGTGTCAGGCTTTCTGTTCTGGTGCTGAGCGCCACAACAGGGAAACATCTTGTGGTTTAAATAAAACATAATAAATCACTGAATTCTTCGTTTCACCTCGTACATGAGGAGACATCCAACAGAGTGAGGTTACATCCTGGGGAATTACCGGCACATCATTGAGGAGCTGTTTTGTTTTCATGAAGCGAAGGGGGTTTGATGCTTTTAGGACGCTGTTAAATTTTTAAACATCCTCCCAGACTGGACCCACCAGCGAGCGTGTTAATGCACAGACTGGCGGGTCTATTTGGTGCATGTGGGACAGAGATATTCACGCTTAGGATCCTCTAACTTCACCCGGACTCAAGAAACGGCACGATGGTGAAGCTCAAAGGTCCTAATCTGTAGCTGCAGCAGCAACAAAGCAAACTTTATTTTATTAATCCCTGAAATAAAAGTTGCTTTACTTCAGCTTCAGCTCTATAAAAGAAGCAGCCATGTTGGTGCAGGTGTGTTTGTTTGAGGTTCAGGATTTGCCTGCAGGCAGATCGTGTGGAGGCACGGTGACCTGCTCATAATTGCTTTGTAATGAACTCTGGAGGCACGTGACTGAGACGGGTCCACAGGGACCTCAAGCACGCGAGGGTAGCATAACCTCTAACCCTTCAATTAGGTCCACATTAATGAAAGGTGAACAATAATATTCTACTTCCTGTCCAGATTAGAGATCTTTCAACAGACAGGCAACATGCAGAGTGCAGCGCAGCTCCCAGGAATGTATTTACTGTGCATTTTCCTGCTGGAGAAACGTTCAAGCTTTGCCTGCAGGCTACTTCTTTTCAATTTCAGCGTTTTCACATCCGCACTCAGTCACATGCTTTAAAAACACCCCGTGGGCAAACTGTGGTTATAAAGATAACGTCTCTGCTGAGAGAAGCAGCACTGATTCCTCTCAACAAATGCAGACAAAAGCTGTCACTCACACCCGCCTGCTCGGGTTGACGAGCATGTTTTTGGCACGTCGATGCTCATTCTTATTTACGATTAAAAACACCAAGAGTAGCCATATTTAAATGTTGCAATGAGACCAGAAGTTGCATCAAACGGTGTGTAATGTTCGGGTAAACGAGTTCAACGTGTCAGACTTTTTCTGTTTAAGGCAAAAGACTAAAAAAAAAATCAAGGAATTTTATTGATTTGGTAGTTTATAAAAATGCATTTGTGCAAACATGTTTGTTCAGCGGACTGTGTGTGTGTTGTCAGAACACCATTTTGGGGTTAGTGGTTAGGTTTAGGACTCGGGTGTGAACAGACAAAAAAAAAAGACAATTTGGTCCAAAAACACAAACAGAATGGGAAAATATGGGGATAAAATATTTTTAAAAATCAAAGTTGCTGCAAAACAAGAACTGAATTCCATCAAAAGCCCTATCCTCCACACCCAAAATAAATTAATAAGTCAAAGCAATTGAATATGCCTACTATTTAGAGTTTAATGAATATAACAGCTCTAATAATTCAGCCTGTGTGAGTTCGCCACGTTTCCCAAGAAACAACCAGCCTTTTTAGTTGGAACATTAAAATAATTCACAAATTGCATACTAAAGTCTAACCCTTTACACCGGGGAAAAGACTCAGTTTTACCTTTTTACAACTTGAAATTAAAATTATTACTCTTGAAAATTTTCTATATAGTTCTTTGAAAAGGATCTAACTGAGTCTAAACGTCCTGTTTTTATCAGCTCGGCCCGTGCTCTTCAGTTTGAATGTGGAAACGTTCGCCTCAAGAAATTTTCTCAAGTCCAGAGCGTAAACGTTTAATTTTTCTTTTTAAGGTTTTTATTTAACATATTGTCTTTACAGGCCTGTACCTCTCTGTTGGCAGGCAGCAGAAAGAAACATCAGGCCAGACCTGGGAATTACCATAAGTACCAGAGAAATTGGGTTATGTAAAAATAATTTTCAGAAAAAATGTTGGCAAGCTAAAAAAGAAAATTGTGTGTAATGATTAGTACCACTTTACAATAAGGCTCCCTTTACAGATGGCTAATAGTTTATAGATGACTTACTAATTCCTCTATAAACATTTTATAAATCATTAATAACTGCTTATTATGCATTAATTAAGGGTGAGAAAGAGACAAAACTGAGCAGTTTCTTGCCAAATAGTGAGCCAAATCTGCCACCTATATATTTCATCTAGAGTTGTTATATTAAACATTTCAGACTCCTTGTAAACACAATAAGGGTTTGTAAACCTATATTTTTTATGATATAATATTGTACTTTATCACTGCAAGTATATACAACTATAGACACTTGTATTGCAGTGATAAAGTACAATATTATAGCCTAAAAAATTAGGTCAGTAAGAGCCTTATTGTAAAGTGGGACAAAATGATTTCATTCTAATGAAATTCAATAACTGATATGGGTCCAGGCTTTATTCGCATCTGGATCTGAACCTCGGTCCACCTGTTGGGGACCCCTGACCTAGACTATAAGGGTCTTTTATTACTTTATGAAAGATGCTAAATCAGTCATGTTGTTGGCTGTGCAGGACTGATGTTTTTTCCTTTTGACCAATAAGAAGCTTTGTGAGAAGTTGTTCGGTCAGTAAAACAAACAAGTAAATAAAGTAGAAAATAGCATTTTGTTTGGTAGTTGTGTTGTTCTCCTGCTGTTAATCAAAGCGATGGGACATCTAGCATCTGCTTCACAGAAAACTCGAGCTTCTCGTACAAACAGCAAAAAGAGCAAAAATCCAAACCAAATGTTTCAGCTGTGCAACGTGCCACAGATGATGCCTTCACTGACCGTGGGAAACGAGACAAGAAGCAGAACCATCTCTTTACATTTCCAGGGCATGTCCAGATGTTGAGCACGAGCAGCAGCCCTCCACTAACAACCTAACCACTACTTTCACTCAGAACCGAGTGTAGACTGTGCCACGTACATCAGAGAGGCGGAGGGGGGAGGACGCAGTTAAAAAAACTAGAGGAAATTACAGGGCTGGAAGACGTGTGCCGTTTAGAGGATATGAAAAAGTCCAAACAGTCTGTGTGAAGAGGTCAGGGAGGAGTTGGACCTGGAATTAAAAAAAAAAAAAAATTTAAAGCTGGAGGCCTAAAAAAAAAAAAAAAAAAAGCAGCTGTGGAAGAAAGAGAGGAGGGGGAGCCATACAGAGATATGGGTTAGGGGGCGGAGCTTCAGACAGGTGTGTGGAGCTCCTGCTGTCTTGCTCCGCCCCTCCTACGATAAACTACTGCTTCTTGCGTGAGTGTGTGCATGTGTCCGTACCAGCTGAAGCACGCTCGACCCTCTGCACGTCAAACCTCACACGCACACACACACACACACACACACACACACACACACACACAGCTCAGTCTCAGTGTCTCCTGTTAGTCCACACACACACACACACACACACACACACACACACACACACACACAC